TGACCACCTGCAACCCCTGCTGACTACCTGCAACACCTGCAACACCTGCTGACCACCTGCAACCCCTGCTGACTACCTGCAACCCCTGCAACCCCTGCTGACCACCTGCAACCCCTGCTGACTACCTGCAACACCTGCAACACCTGCGCTCCCACAGACACTTCCCCAGCTCTTTCCTTCTGCTGGCTGCTCCTTCGCAGCGGAAGCACCGGAGCCGTTTGACTCTTTCCTTGCTAGACTCTGTTGTAGTTTGCTCGTGGATCTATTAAACCTGATTTCCTCTTCCTTTCTGTAATAGCGGCTCTCGTGGTCTCTACACCTTTTCAGTTAGCTAATTCTCTAGCTTTAGACAAAGGAGCAGCTCTACCCTTTATCTGGCTATCCTAAACCCCCTTTCACCTCATTGCCTTTGATTTCCTGTTCCCTACAAACCTTACCTCCCTCAATGAATCTATTAACAACAAAAAGAAAGAAAGAAAAGGAACAATATCAATCACAAACGTATTTATTTAGGTTCAAGGAGCCCTGGTGGCATCGTGGTTACGAGTGGTGTTGCTAACTTCGAGGCCAGCAGTCGGAAAGGACCAGCCACTCCGTGGGAGAAAGACAAAGCTTTCTGCTCCCGTGAAGAGCACGGTCTCGGAAACTCGCGGGGGCAGTGCCACCCTGTCCTACAGGGTTGCTCTGTGTCGGCTTGGAATCGAAGGCAGTGAGTTGTCTTTGAGAAGTTCAAAGTCTGTTGGCGAGAGGAGAGCACAGGGACCTTGGAGTCAGAGCAGCGTTTCTTGTGGCAGACACATGGCATTGGGCATTCAAACCCACAGGCCCATAGAACACAAAGAGCGAGCCGTGACGTGAACTCGGGTCCAATCCACACGCAGCCTTCCCACCACGCAAGGTACGAGGCGCCAACCCCGATGGGCACTTTGGGCTTTGGCTAATGACAATGCACCCTGCACCCACTCCACCTCATTAGCGACCACATTTTTCATGTGATTAATTACTTAATTTTATATGTGTATCTGTACATTTTTTCTTTTTAAAAAATCATGTTATTGGGGGCTCATACAACTCTTATCACAATCCATACATACATCCATTGAGTCAGGCACATTTGTACATATGTTGCCATCATCGTTCTCAAAACATTTGCTTTCTACTTGAGCCCTTGGTATCAGCTCCTCATTTTTCCCCCTCCCTCCCCCTCTCTTCCTCCCTCATGAACCCTTGATAATTTAAAAATTATTACTATTTTTTCATGCCTTGCACTATCTGATGTCTCCCTTCACCCCTTTGCCTGTTGTCCATCCCCCTGGGAGGGGGTTATAGGTAGGTCATTCTGACCGGTTTCCCCTTTCTCCCCCACCTTCCCCTTGCCCTCCTGGTGTGGCTACTCTCAGTATTGGTCCTGAGGAGTGTATCTGTCCTGTATTCCCTGTGTTTCCAGCTCTTATCTGTACCCACATACATGCTCTGGTCTAGCTGGATTTGTAAGGTATAATTAGGGTCATGATAGTGGGGGACAGGAAGCATTAAAGAACTAGAGGAAAGTTGTATGTTTCATCGTTGCTATACTGCACCCTGATTGACCCGTTTTTTCCCTCACAACCCTTCTGTAAGGGGATGTCCAATTACTTACAGATTGGCTTTGGGCCTCCACTACACACTCCCCACCCTCCTTCACATTATGATTTTTTTGCTCTGGGTCTTTGATACCTGATACCTGATTCCATCGACACCTCATGATCACACATACTGGTGTGCTTCTTTCATGTAGGCTTTGTTGCTTCTGAGCTGGATGGCTGCTTGTTTATCGTCAAGACTTTAAGACCCGGTGTAGATTGTGTCTCCACAGGGAAAGAGGGACCAGACTTCAACCCGGTGCTCAAGACAAGAACGCAACACACTGGCATGAAGCAGGGAACCAATAGAGAGGCCTGAGGGGCCGGCCCCATTACCAACTAAGTGGACAGTCACCCCTCCCCCAAGAATAATTCACTTCAGAGGACAGCACTGAAGCTCCAGCTCAAAGAGAGGGACGTGTCTGATCAGAGCACACAGGAGCAAATGAGAGGGGAGGAAAAGAGTAAAGCACATCTTGGCCCACCAAGCCCTGAAGACAATATTTCTGCTCAAAGCAGCCAATGCGCAGAGAGGACCATAGGGCCGGGCTCACCATGAGACATGACGTTCCTCACCGACCCATAGCACCACGGGGACAACAGTGGAGACACACGGCGGGAATTGTGCCCGCCCTGAGCCCACCACACCAAGGCAAGATGCTGCGGGTGTGCAACAAAGCAGCAAGGAGAGCAGAGCAATGAAGTCCCGAGGGAGTACCAACAATAGACTGGGGCTAGGGCGTGGAACCCCGTCAGACTCAACTGGAAAACACTCATAAAGGACAACAAATAGACCTTGAACTATTTATAGCCTTTTATCTTCTTCTGTCGTTGTTTTTGTTTTGTTGTAGCTATTGTTCTATTTTCTATTGTTGCTTTGTTGTGCTGTTCTTGGGTTTGTGCATATTGTTGTTTCTGCACGTCTATCTGGATGGGATAGGCGGGATAAACAAGCCTGAAGAGAGACCAATGGGACGACAGTTCCGGGGGGACATGGGAGAGGGGGAGGCAGGGAAAGGAAGTGGTGTTAACAAACCCTGGGACAAGGGAAGAACAAGTGACTGAAAATGGATGGCGAGGAAGGTGTAGGAGGTCTTGTAGGACTTGATCAAGGGCAATGTAACCGAGAGGAATTACTGAAACCCAAATGAAGGCTGAGCATGATAGTGGGACAAGAGGAAAGTCAAAGGAAATAGAGGAAAGAACAAGGAGGCAAAGGGCATTTATAGAGGTCTAAATACAGGCATGTACATATGTAAATATATTTATATATGATGATGGGGAAATAGATCTATGTACATATATTTATAGGTTTTGTACTAAGGTAGCAGATGGACATTGGGCCTCCACTCAAGTACTCCCTCAACGCAAGAGCACTTTGTTTTAATAATCCAGCATTCTGAGATGCTCACCTTCCCGACCCAATTGCTGAAGACAAAGCGGGTGCATAAGCAAATGCGGTGAAGAAAGCTGATGGTGCCCAGCTATCATTAGCTACCACTTTGTGCCACACCAGTGTGAAACATTAACAGGAAGAAAGCATGCGGGGAGCAGGGAGCATGTGAGGACTCTGTATTTCTGGTCAGTTTTCTATAAACCTAAACTCACTCTCCCCCTCTTGACTGTGAGTTTGTCGTACTGTGGTGGCCTGTGTGATGCTGTGATGCTGGACACTATGTCACTGGCATTTCAAGTGTCAGCAGGGTCACCCAAAGTGAACAGGTTTCAGCGGAGCTTCCAGGCTAAGAACAGAGAGCAAAGAAGGCCTGGGCTCCCCACGTCGGAGGAAGAAACCACTGACAACCTTATGCATA